TCATCTGCTCAGATCATAGAACAGAATCCTAAAGAGAGATCTTCAAGCGTTAGTCAAGTAGGGATCATGATACCCCTGTTAGGATTTGGAAGAAACAAGAAGGAATAATGAGGAATTACAGATTTGAAGCAAAACTGGTGCATCTAGAATCTCTTCTGTACTATGCTTTTGCTGAGGTTCTAATTCTGTGGTCCTTTTCTAGAATGCCATTGCCATAGTTTGAGTATGTCCTTCAAAAAATTGTGTGTTAGTGAGGTGTGTTGGCACATGCCTGTTACTCTGGCTACTCAGGAGGCCAAAGAAGGAGGATCACAAACTTGAGGTCACCCTAGGAAACTTAGCAAGATACCATCTCAAAATAAAATTTAAAAAGAACTGGGGATATGCTCTGTGGTAGGGTGCTTGTCTAGTATGTAGGAGCCTCTGGGTCAATATTCAGTACTACAAGGGGAAAAAAAAGTTCATGCATTGGAAATTTGTCCCCAAGTTCATATGTTGATGGTATTTGTAGTTGGGAGCCCTTGAGAGGTAAATACTATTAGAGGAGGTTATGAGGGTGGGGCCCCTAAATCGGCATTAGTGGCTTTATGAGAAGAGGAAGAGACCTGAGCTAGCCTACTTGCTGTCTCATCATGGGATGCCTTCTGCCTATAATGATGTAGCAAGTATGCCCTCTTCAGATGTGGATTGGATGCTGGCCTCATGCCCTTAGACTCTTTAGCCTGCAGAATTATGAGACAAATCAATTTCTCTTGCTTATGAATTTCCCTGTCTCAAGTATTTTGTTATAGCAGCAGAAAATGGATGAAGACAGCTACATCCTTAGTCACCATGTTCCCTAAGTCACTTAATTAATTTGTTTCCTTGGTACAAGAAAGACCTTGGATGAATAGCAGGAGATTTTTAGGGGTAAGAGTAAAGGTTGGCTGAAAGGGAGGGAAGGAAGGGCATGATTCAGGAAAGTGAAGAATGAAGATGTTTATGCCCTTGACAAAGAATGTT